AAATCTCCTGTAATAGCTAGCTAGACCTAAGAAACTATGAACCTCACCAATATTGGTTGGTCTAGACCAATTTGCTAAACTTCGACTTTAGATGGGTCTACCTCAATTCCATGTGTAGTCACAACATGACCAAGGAAGTCAATGTGATATAGCAAAAAATTCTCCTTTTAAAAAAAATAATAAAATAAAAAATAAAAAAATTGGCATAAGACTTCTCCTTTTGAAAAGTGTTCAATATCACTCTTAACTACTCTTCATGTTGCTGCTTATCCTTTGAGCATACCAATATATTGTCGATGAAGTCTATAATGAATCAATCTAGATATAGATGAAAAACTTGATTCATTAAATCCATAAACATAGATGGTGCATTTGTTAACCCAAATGGCATCGCCTTGAACTCATAGTGCCTGTACCACATTCTAAAGGCTTGAATTGGTGTTAACCTGATCTTGAATCTATTTTTAAGTACACCTTTGCACCCTTTGATTGATCATAAAGATCATCTATCTTTGGGGATGGATATTTATTCTTTATGATCAAATGATTAATAATTATTTGATTGACTGTGACTATTAAATTGATTGATATATGATCAATAAACAATAGGTGATCAATGAACTAGATAAGTTGTGAACAAGATGTAATTTGTGACTGTATAATTATTTGTGACTTATATTTTCAATTTGTGATCGATGAACAAATTATAACTTATAAAATTTTTCGTGATATATAAAAATTCTGATCTATGACTAGAAAATAATATGTGACTAATTAAATCGTTAACTTGTGATCAAAGTTTATAGATCTGTGACATTAATATATTTAATTAATTAAATATATAATTAATTAATTAAATCATAAATAAAATTTAATAAATATCTAATTTTTTAAATTGAAACTTTTGTTCTTAATTTTAAAATGGGTGATACTTAACTTCTTAGTAATAAATTTTTTCGTTCAATTAAAATAAAGTTATCTGTTTGACTGTTTTGAACAGATTTATAGCCTGTTCGTTAGTGATTTTGAGAATTGATTTTTTGACAGTTAGGAAAAAAGTAGAGACCACCTGTGAAAGAAGAAATAAAAAATTACGACTAGAATAGTTAAATAACGATCAAAAAAATCAATTTTTTTTGAGTGAAAAATCACTCCCAAACAGAGCCTTAGTTTTTATAGAATAAAATTTAATAGTTTAAAGATATTAAAGATTCTATAATCCCATTCAGTTTGACTGGTGATGAACCCATTTGGTATATTTTTTGCTTTTATTTTTGTTTCCTATAGAAAAGTTTTCAAAGGAATTTAATTAATTTTTGTTTGAAAACTAATTGTTAAAAGAGTTTTCTATTTCGAAAGCACTTTTAAATAAAGTCACACTGGCCCAGTTTTCTCCAAAAACTCTTCTAATTTAAAAAAAAAAATCCATTTACAAAATTAGTTAAACGAGTTCAAAAGGAATATTTGGATCTCAAATGCTCCTTTTGCAAAAGTCATGTCAATTAGGCCTGATACATTCCTTCTGCCAACAATCGAACATAACCAATCATTTCTATATAGTAAAAAGTTGTGCATGAATTTATGACACCAAATATTTACCCAAGAAAATAATGTCTATAATTCTACTGTGTCAAAAAGCATATAAATTCAATTCCATTCAGATCCTCATTTCCTATAAATATATATA